CACGAACTAGTCTTACCTTAGGGTAACATTTATACAAAGGCACAACGTCTTTCTGGAAGAGGTTCCCCAGGAAAGGCGGGGGAGCTGGACCTGCTGGCAGGTGCCTTTTCTTCTTGTACATTTGGAAGGATGAGAAGAAGAGGAGGAAGAATATACACAGAAGAAACAGAACTATTGCCAAAACCAGCCCCATTTCTTTTGAATTCTATTCAGAAATCCAAATAAATCCTTAAGAGAAATAGAAAGAAAATTGGTTAGTGGAATCCCAACCAAATTGACCTCTAGCCTTCTCCAAATTTTCCCCTATCAATTTCTTTTCAAGTGACCTTTCTCTTAAAATGGGGGAGCAGGTTACTTATCAACATAGATATAGGATGACCTTGGCGGTAAACATATTAACTATTTCTTGTCCATTTCAAAAAGATAAGCCACACAAAAGTAGGTAAGACCTACTTTTTTATATGGTATTAGTTCAGATTTTCTCTAATACAATTATATACATATACATTAAATTGCACCATATCTGTTAAACAAATACTTACCCTAAATCAGCAGTCCCCACTTTATCACTTAATGGGCACTCTGATGCAGGTGATGAAGACTGATCCCTTTGTGAAAGTTATCTCAGGGAAAGTATCTCAGAACTTCCTTCATTGTCAAGTACAAAATAGCAGATCAGCAAAGGCTGTATTTAGCTGAATAAAATCTGAGCCATCATAGCAAATGCATCATTCTTATTAAAGATGCTGTTGTGAGAATTTAGAATAACCCGGTGAACCACATTTTTGGTATTAATACATGGTATAGCAATTATTCCTGTGGAAATGTTATAATATTCAAATAATAAAGGCAGTAATATTTGGTGTTATCAAAATGCTGTCTTCTTTATAAGTAGTTACCATTTTATAATGTCTTCAATCATGCTTTAAAACAAAGTTTTGCTTCTGGTCAGCTTTACTCCAAAACAAAAACAAAAAACAACAAAAAAAGATTTGCTTCCTAATATATCTTCCTAATACATATCAATACACCCCTTCACGCACACACCAACACCGAAGTTGCTGTTCCTATCCTCAAAAAAGAGC